TACCCTACCCTACCCTCCCTTCCTCCTCCTCCCTCCCTCCCTCCCTCCCTTCCCTCCCTCCTCCCTCCCTTTAGCGCTTCCCTGTACCTCTCCCAGGAGCCTCACATCGTGCGACAGAGCAACAGAGGCAGCGACGGAGTTTCAGAGGCTCCGGCAGAGCACCGAAGACGCTGAGAAGCTCTTCTCCATCAAGGAAGCAACATGTAAGACCGACGCCTGCAGTCTGCGAGGTTGCTGAGCAAGGGCCAGGGCGAGGGAGGCTGCAGGCGCTGGAGGAGCAGCGGGAACAGGCGCAATGCCAGATGCGGGAGCTGAAGCAGGAGGTGAGGGGCCTGTGCTCCTGACAAGACTCTGGTGACTGTGGAAAAAGATGGAGTTCAGGCTGAGGGCGAGCGTGGAGAAGCATGAGGAGGTCGTCTATCGGATCAACATGGAGAGGAGCAGGCTGGAGTCAGAGTTGCAGTCCGCGGCCTCCGAGGCTGAGAGGATGAAAGCTGACCTGGAGGAGAAGGACCTTCAGATCAGGGCGATGGGGAGGACCCTCCAGGACGCAGGTGCTGTGCATTGCGGAGGTGGCTCGTGCGTTGAGACGTGGGGCCCTCGCAGCAAGGGAAGCGAGGCTCTCTGCTCAGAACATCGAGCTGCTCCAGGTGCGACGGCTCCCTGTTCTCCTCCTGCTGTGCGAGCGGGATGCAGGCGAGCAAGCGGGAGCACGCCAAGGAGAAGCAGGACTGGGCGCAGGAGAGGGCGAGGCTGATGGCGGAGATTAAGAGCAAGGAGATCTCTGCCAAGGAGGTCGCTGAACCCCCTGTTCCTCCTCCTGCTGCACGGGTCAAGGCTGACGCGCTCGTGGGGCAGGCGGAGCTGCAGCACGTGTCAGAGAAGAACAGCTTGAAGAAGGCGAGGAAGAGCCTCTGGCGCTGCCGCTGACAGGAACCTGAGCAGGCGCAGGCGGACATGCAGAAAGAGATGGAACATCTGCAGTCGCAGGTGGGACTGACCCGCCGCCTCCTCCCGTCCCGTCCTTCCCCTCCCTCCATCCCCCTCCCTCTCCCCTCCCCTCCCTTCCCCTCTTCTCCTCCCCCCTCCCGGCTCTGATCGCGTTGCTCCTCCTGCAGCTGCACCAGAAGAGCGTCAAGGTGTCCGAGCAGCACAACATCATCGAAGAGTACAGGAAGTGAGGAGGCTGCGGTTGTTTGTCCCTCCTCCTCACCCGTCGCAGGGCGGAGTCGTCGTGGATGGTCGAGAAAGCTACCCTGCAGCAGACGGAAGTCTCCCTCCGAAACCGTCTGGCTGAGGTGGAGGACGAGCAAGAATCGACGCTGCTCCCTCATGTGGCTACCAGGTGGAGCGCCGGTATGGCCTGCAGCTCCAAGCGCAGGCGAAGAGTGTCGAGCAAGCGAGGGTGAGAGGGGAAGGAGGAGAGAGGAAGGAATGGAGAGCAGGGGGGGGAGGGGGTTGGCAGGGGGTGCGAAGAGTTGGGATGTAGGGAGAGAAAGAATTGTGTTGGGGAGAGGGAGATTGAAGGCCTTCGCTTTCTTGGCCTCTGACGAATTTCAGGACGCGCTGAGTGCAACGGAGACGTCGCTGAATGCCAAGTAAGAGGAAATTAATGCCAGCATCCAGCATCCTCCTCTTCCTCTTCATCCCTCGTCCTCCTCCTCCTCCTCCTCCTCCTACCTCCGTTCCCTCCCTCCCCTCCCCCCCCTCCAACC